AAACTAACAGACCGATTTTCTTACTTTCATTTTTGCGAATGTCTCCAAAGAGGGTCGGTTGGTATTTTATGTTGCTCTTGCCTTCTTTATATAAACAGAGTATTAATTTCTTAGGATCTGGGAAGAAATCAGCTTAGCAGGAGGTTTTGTGTAGATGAGGAATATTGCTTTGCTGATTCTTTGGAATCTGTCTTCTTATGCAGAATGATAACTTTTAGTACAACGTTACGCAGTATGCGATGTATTAGGGCATGTGATGTGTGTGTATGTGTGTGGTTGCATTTTCTCTGTGATACAGTGAGGTGTTGACTCTAGCTGGTGCAGAAAAAAATTTGCTTAAACACATTTGTCCTGGTTTCAGCTGTCATAGAGTTAATTTTCTTCCTAGTAGCTGGCATAGTGCTGTGTTTTGGATTTAGTATGAGAATAATGCTGACAACACACTGATGGTTTAGTTGTTGCGAAGTACTGCTTTACTAAATCCAGGACTTTTCAGCTTCCCATGCTCTACTGACTGAGAAGGCTGGAGGTGCACAAGAAGCTGGGAGGGGGCACAGCCAGGCCAGCTGACCCAAACTGCCCAAAGGGCTATTCCATACCATGTGACATCATGCTCAGTATAGCAACTTGGGGAAAGCTGGCCGGGGGGCTGCTGCTCGGGAACTGGCTGGGCATTGGTCAGTGGATGGTGAGCAATTGCATCATGCGTCACTTCATCACTTGCTTTGTATATTCTATTATTATTTTATTTCAATCATTAAAATGTTCTTATCTCAACCCACAAGTTTTCTCACTTTTACTCTTCTGATTCTCTCCTCCTCGGGGGGAGGAGCGAGCAAGCGGCTGCGTGGTGCTCAGTTGCCAGCTGGGGTTAAACCACGACAGTCCTTTTTGGCACCCAACATGGGGCTCGATGGGTTGAGATAACAACAAATCTGACCAGAGCATGTTAGAACAAATTTGTTACAAACATTCATTATATGAGTTTGATAGTTGCTGGTCACAATGTTGATTAATTTGCTCTCAAAGTTGTTGTGCTTGTTCTCAGGGTTGCGTTACGTAACACCTTAACTTGCCGTATGTGTTCCCCGTTGAGCTCTCTATCACCGCTGCGAGCTGGGTCAAGGTTATTGTTTTGCTGTGCTTTGTAACATTGGCTTATGAAATGATAAAATAGCTGGTCGTGAGACTACTCTGGTATTTGTATTCAGCATTGCTGCCATCTCTGTACTTCAGGAGCCATCTCTCAGAAACTATTAATAATTACATGTTGTACCTTTTCTACTCAGAGAGCCAATTTACAGGGGAGACACCTTCTCCCACACATCAGTGTGTTATCAACATTATTCTCATCCTAAATCCAAAACACAGCACTATACCAGCTACTAGGAAGAAAATTAACTCTATCTCAGCCGAAACCAGGACAACCTTCTACTGATTGACCAATTCTTCGGTGTGAATACTGCCTATAGTCCCAGGTTTCTTGAGGAGTGAATTGTTTTTCTTAATGTTATTGACTGACATCTTCAAAATATAGCCATCAAGCAAAGAAGTTGCCTACCTGGAGTGCACAGCAATCAACTTTCTTGGAATATATTGTTACCTTTATAATGGATACTCCCAAATACCAGAGCATTTAGCCGTTAATTCCATGTTCTTTACTGCTGACTCTGCACACACTGGGGCTCTTGGGTCAAGCAGCTCTTTCTGGATGTGCACGCTTTGGGTTAAGGGAAGTCAATCTTACAATATTGCAATGTAAAGCTGCTCTGCAGAGTATTAATTTCATAGCCACAAGCTAGAGCATCATTACATTACTTTTCCATCTTATATTAGACATAAGTTCCCCTGGAGGAGTGTTTGTGAGTCTCTTCTCTTCCTGACCTTCAGTTTAGAGGAACACAACCAACCATCTAAGGCAAAATCTGCCTTTGTGTCTAGTACAAGTATAGAATCATAGAATGCTTTGGGTTGGAAGGGACCTTTAGAGGTCATCCAGCCCAACCTCCCTGCAGTGACAGGGACAGCTTTAACCAGACCAGGGTGCTCAGAGCCCCGTCCAACCTGACCTTGAATGTTTCCAGGGATGGGGCCTCCACTACCTCTCTGGGCAACCAGAGAAAATTAAGAAGAGAAAAAAAAAAAAAAAAAAAAATCACAAGGTTTGCTCTAAAGCCCATTTAGCTAAATCTGCTGCTGCTGCCCACCACACTGACAATTGCTAGTAAAATTGCCTGGCAAATGCTAGTAATCCTGAATACGAGGCTGTGTGAACTCAACACCTACACTATAGTTTGGTCAATATTTCTTTAAGCCCTCTAAATTGCTAGGCATTGCAGATTGCCTGAAAATGAAACCACAAAGCACTTTATGTTTCTGCCTGGGAATACTGTCTTTGTGTTTCAGTTCATCTAAAGGTCTAAAAAATAGTAACGTGGGATGGAAAATAGAAATATGAAAATAAAACCAATTTTTGAGAGGAAGTATTTGAAAGTATCCATTCCAGGATTGCACTTGATATTGAATATCCAAGACAGATTTAGTTTTGCTCACTCCAGTTACTCAACTGGAAGATGGAATGATGCAGAGGAGTCCTGTCCTTTCAGTCTCAGGTAAATTTGTACATGTTTCTAGTTCCAAAGGTCTGCAGAATGGACAACCCTCTGTCTGCTCACACAGGTGCAAATGTGTGGTGTTAGCCATCAAAAAAAAAAAAAACAAAACCAAACCTATAAAGAGCTGCAGATCTTTGATACAAAAGACAATGCCACAAAAATTACCTAGTGCAACAGAAAGAGCACAAGAGAGAGCAGTGTTGGTTTTTGTCATATTCCAGTGGTTAATCTAGCAAACGTGAGAGGCACAAAAGAAAGTCTACACTGGAAAGAAGAAGAAATGTTTATTTTTGTTTTAAGTGTATCAGTCTACACTGGGTACTAAAAGTTGGAGAGGATGTTTGAAAAGGGAGGGGGGGTATTCCGATTTTCTGAGGTATGTTGTCAGGATCATAGATTGATTTTTTTCCATGGTGGCTATAGCCTAGTGCTCTGACTATGCATCTCACAGCCTGTTTCTGTGTAAGACATGCTACTCTTAGGAAAGTACATTCATTTCAAGAATACCATGACATAGAAATGTCAGAAGCAGTGATTTCTTCTTGTCCAATAGACAGGCTGAAAGGCAAAGCAAGTTTGTATGACTCTCAAAGGTCTGTACACAAGAAGGTAAACCAGTCTGCAAGAATTTTTTTTTTTTTTTAATTCAGGATTATTTGCTATATTTTAAAGTTTGCTTCCGACTGTCTTCTGACAAGTACAGAATCAGCACTGGTTGAAAAAGCTTCTAGGAAACAATATATTTGATGTACTGGTTTGATGACTAATCAGCATTCTGTCTTGCTCCGCCACATCCAATCTAAAGAAGTGATTTATTTGTGTGTTTGAAGATGAAATGTGAACCTTCAGTAATTGCATTCAAACAGCTGTGTAGTATAAACTTACGAAACCACTCCATTGTACTGTCAACTAAAATTGACCATCCCGTAGATTTATCAGCAGAACACAAAATAATTACTTTGTCACAACTAGCATCTGGAAACATGAGGAGGAGGGCATTTGAAAAGCCCTAGCAGGCGATTAGAAAAAAGATGCGTGTCTGACCCAGCACTGATGGTGATTTTACCATTAAATTCAGTGATAGCAGAATTAGAACAGAATTTTGTATTATGAATGTGACCTATTACCTCTTATCCATGTGCTTAGATATCACAAAGATAAAAAGTATAAAGGTAGTCAGAAAAAGGATTTCAAATATTTGGATTAATATTTATAGTTTTGCTATCTGTGCTGTACATGCTTCTATTCTATTTTGATCTCTGCAGTCAGGAGCAAAATTAAGCATGGTATTTGTGGAGAAAACAGAAGGTATGTTTCACAGAGCTACCTGTTCAGCAGCAGCACTAATTTTCCTACAGCAAAAAAAATGTTTAAATGTTTTTTAAGAAAAATTTAAAAATGTGTACTTAAAAAAAAAAAAAATCCATATAGCATCTCTCTGGAAGGTGAACAGCTGCAAGTGGAAAGAAGTTCAGTACAGAAACTTGGTGACTGAGCTCTGTCGTCACTGCCAGTTGAGCGTGTTCTATAGAAACAGGTTAATGGAACCTGAAAATCTCATTTAAATGTAATTCAGTTGCATTACAAACTGACTGAATCCTTTTCTGGTTTGAACCTTAACTTTTTAGAATAGGTCTAAAATCAGGAAAGACATGCTGAAGGTTAAGCATGAAAGAGCTTTTGTGACTCAAGTTAAAAATTTGCCTAAATGTTTAATTTGATGTGCAAATAAAATCAGGGATTCTTTCCACAGCCAATGTCTCTCCCAGAGGAAAAAGGTAAATTGCTAAAGTAAAAAAAAAAAATCAATTGCTATTGGATAGATGAATGTCTAGAGCTACCACAGTATTTGCAGACATGTCAGATTATGTGAAAGCTGAGTATCTATGAGAAGAAAGTCGATTTGCTTTGCAGAGTTTGCTTGCCTGATTGCTTGCATTGCTACACAGGAAACACCACTGCTGTGGAGAACATACCTACGTCATGGATCTTGTGGGAGACTACCTTTTCCCATTCAGCCTCCAAAGTACTGTGTTTTTTTTAAAGTTTGTAAGATCCTGATTGCTTTATTTTTTAAAAACCAAAACAAAACCAAACCCCCAAACCCTCTCTACCTAGGCAATTTGCTACACCCCTTTAACATACTAAGTTGTAACAGCATCATTTATATGGTTATATAGGAATCACCATTCAAATTATGAAACTCTATCAATTTTTTGCAGATGGGTCTTCTCAACTTACCTTAGCTCCCTAATATCACCCTAGAAAGTCCAGGACTTCTCTGCAATAGAAGGATCTTGCTGTCGGATCTTAAAGAATCTTAAGGGATAGTATCGTACGGTGTTAATCACAAAATACTGTAATTCTGTGGTTTTTCTTTATCAGTTGCATTTTCAGGCCTTGGCTTTACCACCTTCTACTTGGCTGGAAAGCTACACTGCTTCACGGAAAATGGCCGGGGGAAGAGCTGGCGGCTTTGTGCAGCAATTCTCCCACTCTACTGTGCCATGATGATTGCCCTGTCCCGTATGTGTGATTACAAACATCACTGGCAAGGTGAGCCATGGAGATACCTTTTTTCTGCTTTTTTTATTAACCTTTTATTTCTTTGGTTTTTTGTTTTCATTAAATAACATGAGTTACAACATGGTAGTACGTTATAGGTTTTCCTTGCTCCTGCATTGATGCTGAGGGTTTCAATGTCTGAAAGTACCTCAGGGGCCCTTTGCCATTTTCTATTTTCATATACACAATGTACATCATATATACAAATCTACATCAGTGGGGTTTTTTTACATCATGATTTTTTGCAAGTGTACATCAGTGCCATAACTGTCTTGGACGGATCCAGCTGTAGGCTGGATCTGGCCCATCAGAGTAGCTCCGTTGTGTGGCCTAGTCCTTGCCTATGGTTTTTCCAGGTACCTGCTAGGTACCTGTTGGGTACATGAGTGATTGCTAATACGTGGTTGCATGTGCATTAGATTAGACTGAAGCATCTGTGTGTAGCTAGTCATTGCAAAGATGCACTCAGTCATTTGTCTGTGTTCTGGTCATTTAATGCACATGATGTAATACACTGTTTTTCATTCAAATCAGAGTATATTGGGCATGAGGTGGGTTCATGGCCCCTCCTTGAGAAGTATAGAGACATTGCGTACCAAGCTACAAGTCTGCCTACACTGAAAACCTTGCTGCAAAGTTTGATGTTTTCTATTCTCTTAATTTTTTTTGGCCAAGGTTGTAATTGCTCCCACAGTGTCAATTCCTCACTTTCCAAAGTCAGGCCCTACTTAAGGAAGACAAATGTTTCATCTTCTTGTTACATCCTATTAGAAATTATTTTCTATAGCTCCACATATTATATATGGGCTCCACATATTTCAAGGCTGATGTTTTGTTATACTGACTGGCTGTTAGCATGATGGATTCATCATGTGGTACCAATGTATATTCATTAATTTATAACTGCAAATAAATGCTGAATGTGTTCAGTGTGGATGAGGGGGTCACTGAAGCAGCACGCAGTGTCTGTCTGGGTTGTAAAGTACATCCACAAAGCTAAAGAAGCTGGCCACACAATCTTAAACCTTACCTTTGTGAGGGAATGACAGTTACTGACAGAATGGGAGATTGCTCCTAAGACTCCAACAGCAGCATCTGATGTGTGGCTGAGTTGTATAAAATGTCTGCTCTTGGATGAAACTGCATCTTTAAAAGTCTACATATAATGAACAACAAGGGATATTCTTAAGTGAAGCATCGACAGTCTGAAGGATGCTTAATCCTAATCTCCTTTTCATTTACTTCTTATTGTTTCTAGCAGAAACTTTGGATCCTCATATTATGTGAGCATTCTCATGTAAACGAGGCATTGTTATAATACAACGTGATTAGAGCAGATACCTTTCAGGAGGTTTCTCAGTGAGGCTGAATTAACTAGCGCTGACTTTCATAGCTTCAGGGCTATGCCGCAGCATCCTCTCTTCCCTCACGTGGAGTGCGATACCCGTCAGACCAGCACATCTGTCACAGGAAGACTGTTGTATCAGAGTCCTTTAACATTCAGGTGTGAGACATAAGTGATATAGAAGGCTATACTATTTATTAATTACACACTTATATTACTAAATTACAATTCTGTGACTTCACTCTATTACCACGCCTTACCCTCCCACACTGAGTCTTTCAGACATGGACCTGGTAGAGGGTCTTGCAGGTTGTCCACATCGCTTCCCTCCAGCATCCACAGGTCAGTTTACTACTGTCTGTCAGCATCTACACTTTCACTGTCAGAAAATCCTACCACCTATTACTGCTTTTACCATTTCTTGACCCTCTTTTTGTCCGCCTTTCTCGACTCCTGTCTCCTAAGTAATCCAGCCTGTAATTACTTTTTCCCTATTTATCCCCATATTCCTATCGGAAATACCAGACTTGGTATTTCTAATACTGTTATGTAGGTCATCTTGGCTTTATGTGGTATTGCTGGTATGGTACTGCTGACCTTACAAATTATACTCCCCTCAAGGTCCTGAGCGCTCCTTTGAATTATCTGCTTCATATTGGTTGCAAATTATTTACCTGTTTTCTAAGACATATCATTCTGTTGGTTCCTCTACATAGTTTCAATTAAGTACAGCATATCTCTGTCCCACTGAGCATTTCTTATCTTGTACTGCAGTCAGCATACCAGAACAAGACTCATCCGTGCTTTTTCTTGCTCTGTTGTTTGTGTTCGTGCAGCATCTCATTCTCCCATAGCTGCTTAATCACCAACCATTAGCCTTGACATGTTCTTTAAGGAGTCTCCTGGTTTTCTGCAGAGGCCTTGTCTTGTTACAGGGCTCACTACTCTTCTTTGCTCAGTCGGAGAGAGCCTCCAGCACAAAGCTGCTGAGCGTGAGGTGCGTGCCTCACCAGGCTGGCAGGCGGGACAGACAGCAGAGTTACGAATCTGATGCTCAGTGTGTGACACTTGGCTGGTTTGAACTATGTGTTAGAGAGAGGAGCGTGACTGAATGTGAATGGGAGTGTACAGGTTTACTCTCAAGTTTTGAACATGTTTGCCGTTTGTACTACCTCTTGCCAAGAGTAAGAATTATTTATGTACTGAAGCATGTGCTATGAGGCAGATTATTATGGTGTATTTTATATATGATAGAAGAAAACTACACCCAAGGGGTTGTGACTGTGTCCATTACAGCCGCTCATATTTTTGTCTTTGAAATTTAAGGAGATGGAGCTGAAAACTCAGCTCTTCCTGAGCTAAGAACAGGGCTGGCAGACATTATCCTGCAGGTGACCTATGCTTTTACCTGAAAGAACTGCATTCTCAAGGGAGAGGCTAGTTGACTCTGTAATATACAGCACAGAAGCTCAGGCCTCATCTTTTCTGCTCAGCAGAGTCAACCGATTGTGTTAAATTACTTATGGTGGCTTTGTGATAGACTTGTAACCATGCTGTGGGGAACGAACAAGGACTGTCAATACAATGTCCAAGGCTTAGCACACTGTAGGTGAAAGATGGAGTGGAGTATCCTTACATTAAAAAGACATCGAGTGGGCTCAGAACACTAATATTATGAGGACTTTATGAGCTCCCTTCAGTTTGGCTGGAAAATGTAGTATTTAAGGTCTTAACGTTGGTATTGGTGAATATTAGGATATTTCATTATGAATCGTGAACATATTGACTGCTTTTAAGTCCCTAGATCTCTGTATAGGCTTATAACTCTGAAAATGTGAATTTACTCATGAAATAAGCTGAAATTTTGTATGAAAAAAGTATAGATAAATACTGTGACCAAAAGAATATTTTTTTTCCTTTATGGGCAAAGGAAAAAAAAGAAGGAAAAAAAAAAAGGAAGCTGTGGCTACGATGAGTTCAAACAAAACACAGAATTGTTGTCTTCAAAAACAGGAGTCAAATAGCTGCCTGTGTGTTTGCTCAGTACCCCCAGTCAAGGTCAGTAAGCTAGAAATCTTTGGCATAAGTCATATAGTGAATTTGTATTACTGTGGTGCCCAAACTGAAGCCCAGAGTTGCATAACTTGCATGTAGATGTTTTGAAAGAAATTATCTAGGCAAGTTTTCAGGAAGTCTTGAAATACCGAGGAACTTACAGAGGACTGGTAGAAATCTGGTGTTTCTCCATAATTAAAAATAGTAATCAGAGGCTTGACTTAATTGTTAAGCAAAATAAATAAGCAGCTGGAACAGGATTCAATCAACCACAGTTAAAGGAAGGTAATCTGAGAATTGCAGCCAACACAGGTTTATAGAAAATGAATCTTGTCACAATAACTGAATATTTTACAAATTGATTGACACTTTAATAGTATATTATGGTGAAAATTCTTGCCCTTGGTAACTTTTGTACCATGGCAGTTTGACAGGGACAGTCCAGATGGTACAAAATCAGTCAGCTAACAGTAAGGGTAGGATAAGCTTCTGTCTGCTTGCAAATACCATGTACACACAATCACCTTTTAAAATCTTACTTGAGCCTCTATTACGTTTGTTTGTTATGTCCTTTTGCATGTAGGAGGAGAAAACAGGATTAGAAGGGATCTCCTAGGTAATTCGGTCTAGTCCTCTTCCTCAACAGACAACTGTGACTTATAATCCCATTTCTTAAATTTATCCATCTCAATCTTAAATTTTTCAGGTTTTCGTGCCCTAGCTATTCCTGTTAAAAGGCTCTTCAGAATCTCACTCCTCCAATGATTACAAACCATTTATTACCCACTGAAAATTGAATAACATGCCCTTTGTCCTAATATATACTAGACTAACAAACTAGAGCATTTAATCTGTTTTTAACTATTTTAGACAAAATAATTTGTATTGATTAACCCTTCTTTGTCATTAAACTCAATGATTTGCCTTTTTTTTTTTTACACTGTGGTTTCTTTGTAACTGAAAATAACATACAGAAACACAGGCGTACACAGATGATATGGTGCTTAGTAAGCTTTGTTAAAATAAAACACGGCGTCAAGTCATATTCTAGCCAGTGCCTTTTGCCTCACTTTCATTATTGTTTGTGTTCAAATCTGAGGCTTTCAAAGTCAGTGTGCATTTTCAGTGAATTTTTGCTCTGGTTGCTCGAAAATGAAACAAGATCAGGCGCCCAGATTAGCAAGAAGCGAGGAGAACCTGACAATAGAACAAATCCTCTTACCCTTCAGGTGCTGTGCCATTCCCATGGAAAACTTAAAATTGTCCATGTGTGAGAGCTGCAAATATCTCATTCAATGGCCCTATTTTATTTTATCTTATTTTATTTTCTGGTAGGCATATGGGATAGTAAATAGCATCAAAGAAAGATATGCAAAAGGTGTTAAATCAGTTAACAGGCATGGTTAGTCTTGACCTTTCAGGTGCTTTTAGGAAGAATTCACCCACCTTGAAATTGTTCTTGACAGCTGTCTTTCTCAGGGGCCTTTTGGGAGCTGCAAGTGAAATGAATTGTAGCTACAATGGCCTGCTTCCTGAAGGAAGATAATTTTCCATCCCACATCCTCCCTGCTTGCCGTCTGCATTGGATAACACCTTCTGGAATGCAAAACAGTCGAAAGTAGATCTGGCATTTTAGCTGCCATCTTTCCTGGGGTACGTGGGCAGAGACAAGGAGCAGACTGTAGTCAGTGCAATAGTTTGAGGTGTGCCTGTCAGCAGGAGAGCTCTGGATGCTGTAAACAGCATGGTTCAACTGTATCACTGGTGGTGGTCAGTGTAAATCATGGCAAACTGAAAGAAGACATGGGTTGCCTACCCTTAAAGACTGGTCAACTGTGAGCTGGGAGATCATGAATGTTTAATGCCCCATGGAAACCATTCTATTTCCTTTGTTCATCTCCTGAAACGTAGCCAACTATCTACATTCTGGGTATTCAAAATGTTGGAGTTATCCCCCCAAAAATACTGATTTTCTGTGTTTATGTGATTGTGGTATTTGGCTTCAAATTCTTTATGAAAATTTGAGGTTCATATTTTCTGGATTAAACACTTCCAGGTCAACCAAAGGTCTTTTATTTACAGTTGTCACTACTGGCTGTCCTTTCCATGGTAACATACTTCTGGTTTTGTTGCTTTTCTTATCTAGATGCTTTCGTTGGAGGGATCATTGGCCTCATTTTTGCTTATATTTGCTACAGACAACACTACCCTCCTTTGGGTAATACAGCTTGTCATAAATCTTACGTCAGCCTGCTAGATCAGAACTCTGTGAAGAAAGAAGAGAGACCTACAGCAGATAATGCTACTGGCCTGCCTCTAGAGGGAATAACTGAAGGTCCTGTATGACTTTAAGAAATGTGCAGAGTGAACTTTTTAGCCTTCTCACATTTTCTCCAAACTGGTCTCTTAACACAGTGTTTCTTACTGTATGTATTTTTTCTTTTGTTTCTTTCCTTTTTTATAAAAAATGAAATATTTTATTTTTAATGCCATAATATCATCAAACTTTTAAAGTTAAATTTTCAGTTCATACTGACTTACTGAATTATCTGGTTTCAGTTTACTGCAAACAGCTAGACTAGTTGAAGGAAGGGGAAAGAACATTAATAAAAACAATCCCATGTGGAGAATGGTTAAGAGAGTAATTTTAAGAAGAGATGGTTGAGGATATAGTAGATCTGGAAACAGATTTTCTGAAGTACTGAGTGTCTCCTAGAAAGTTCTGGTCATCTTCAGCACTCATTGATTTTGATGGGTGTTTAGTACACACAGCAGTTTTCATCAGATGTTCAGCATCTGTTGTGGCCAGCCATTTCTTTGTATAATTTGATAAGTTGGGCATCATCCTTATGTTTATCTTGTTGCCTTCTAACATAAAAATCTCCGCATGCTGGTAGAACTTCGTATTAATTGTCAAGTTTTGACAAGGTCATTCTGAGCTACTAATGATCAAGCAACTGAAATGTATGAATGGTTAAGTGTTTGTAAGAGCCAAGCCTCATGCATTAGTAGTTCCACAGGATGATGCTGACATTCAAGAAATTCCACACTTAAAATTATCAGCTGGCAATAACATATATGTTCATAGGATGGATTAGAAACTTGGTATTACATCATTAGCAATTTTCTGAGAGCTCTTGCAGTGATTACTGTCGAAACAAAATGAAAGAAAGGAACACCCATGACATTCAACAAGCTGAAGTCTTTAAAACAAATTTAAAAAAAAATCCTAAAACTGTGAGGATAAAGAAACACAATGTTTTCTGTGAATTTCAGTGTGCCATGTTCATTCTTGTGTAGTGACTCACTGCAGCATTGGTGATTTAAAGAAATGCAGAGATTTTCATTTGTGACTTTGGGTGTACAAACCATGAATGCTTGTGGTGGCCTCCAGCACTATAACGTATCCAGAGGAATGCTGGAGACAGTTTTCCACTAGACCCATTCCACATGTTCAGCTCATCATGTTCTTGAGCATGGTGTTTGCGAAGGTTGGCTTGGTACCTGAATTGAAACTCATCTGAATCAAAACACTGTTGGTATGCAGAAGATTACTAAGTGTATGACTTTAGTTAATTTATTATTGGTAGGATCCTGTTTTGTTACGTATGCACTACACAGTATACATCACATTCATGTGAAATGATGTACCTTTGGATGGCAGAATGTCAGATTCCAGAATTTTTTTTCTTAGATATCCTGTGAAAATGCAGGCAAATGTTCCAGATCACATCTTGGCAGTTGAACATTTCTTAGCCCGAGCTGCTAGCTAAAGTGATCAAGATAGCATTGTTCAACGACCATTATTACGGTGCTTTAGACTGGAGGAGACTGCTGCCATAATTATAATTTATGTGTTCCTGTTGGAATATGTATTGGCCTTGTAGGCATTTTGTGATTCAAACAGCTCAATGTCTTTATGTAAGGCTTGTCATTTATTTTTCTCAAAGGTAAGCTTTGTAGATTTTTTGAGAAAAGCTACTTCCTGATTGGCAACACTTGAATTTTTATAGAAAGCAAGTAAATTAGAATCCCTTTAAAAATAAATGTAATAATTGAGTACAAGAGGATGCAACCATACTATATATAAACTTATATGATATTTGGAAGTAACTATAAATAGGAAATGACATTAAAAACCAGAATGTAATAGGCATGAACCCAAGAGGGTTCTGTAGAAATTAGGCCTGATCTACTTGTAAAACTGATACCAGTTTGACTGCATCAGTTAGGGGCAGGATTTTTTACTGCCAGTTACATTATTCTGAGCTCTAGAATAGAGACAGTTACCCAAACATGACCGTGGTTTTGCTGGTGTATATATGCTAGTTCACAAAACTAGCATCAGCAAAGCAAAATTATTCTGGCGTTGCATTTGCACTGGATTTGACAGAACACTTCTCTAGTGTAACTGAGGTCTTATTATAGAAATCCGCACAGTTTAGTGAAGGTTTAATCTTTCTATAAAGTTTTTAAACCATCCTACAGAATTCTGTAACAGGAATACCATTTTCTATTACTTCATATGGGAGGATTAATGAAAGCCCTAGAGTAAGGGTATCGTGTCTTTACATTGTATAGGGCTTCGCCATTAGCTTTTTCT